AACACTGACAGCAGGACACTGCGTTTTCCTCCTACGACAGTCAGTGGAAAAGGCCCAGGATAGGGTAGCAGCCAGAGGACTTGGAATCAGGAGCTGGCCCTCTGCCCTCCACTCTGGCCAGGACCAGAACAGGCACGGGGGGTAGGAGCCAGGAGGGAAGAAGGGGGTGGGCTCCTAAGACTGGTAGCTTCCAGCACCTGCCATCAGCCCAGCTCACCTCCTACCTGCCCAAGAAGTGGGGAACCTGCTCCACCCCATCTGAGTTGCAAGGTACAGCCCTTTATAACCTCTCCACCCCCATGCGACTTTGACAGTCATTTGAACCTGATTTCAACTGGATAAAATGAAATGAAAGAGGAGTTGGGGAAGAAGCAGATATGGGCAGAGGGACTTTGAAGATCCTGTACCTCTGCACCCTTCCAGCAGTGGGTGCGTTTTAGGAGGTGACAGAGCCTGGTTATGCTCCAAGCAGAGCTGGGTTCAAATCCCAGTTCAGACACTTACTCTTTAGCTACAGGCTCATCTTCTCCAAAATGGGAGTAAAAGTATCCACTTCACATGGTTGCTGTCATGAGTAAATGAATCATGCACCCAGAAGGCATTCATTGAGTACTGTTTCCATTCCAAGGGGCTGAGCTGATGTGGGGATGGTGCATGTGCCACCACTTTATTGCAGTGAAGTTAAAAATGAACACTGAGTGCATATCTGGCTCCAACCACCTTGAATGGAATATAAGTGATAAGCAAATGAAATGGAATAAACTTGAATACAGAAAGCCAAGTAGAATTTTCTGATCTGCACTCTTCCTCAAAGGAACCTACTGAAATATTGAAGAAAAAGAAAAATGTCATTCTTGCAGTGTGCATAATCTGATGTTAGGGAGGCTGTCAGACCAGGATCTGGAGGCATTCTCCTTGTATTGAGCCGCTTGGATAGGTTGCAAATAAGCCTCCACACTGAACCTTCTAAGATTCATCCCCAACCCTCTGCTGTAGATATTCAAAATCATTCTTTATGTCTCTTTGCCCAAGATATCTCCCAGGCTCCCCAAATCACATGCCCCTACCCCCACCACTAAGCCTCTGAAATCAGCAGAACCATCTGCGTTGGGCATGAAAATGAGATATTACAAAAAGTTGTCACACAGAGGTCATTATTTCTAGAGGACAAAGGGGGAAAGCAAAGCTTTTAATAAAGGCTTTTGGAGCCACACTCCCCTAGCTGGCAGAGGGCCTCTCCCTCCCTTCTCCCTGCGATTACAAATGCAGTCTCTGAGGCAGCTTTGACATGCACGTTACGCAGCATGAGCAGCCTAATACTGTATTCTTCTCCAGAGCTACCACCCGGCTGCATCACCCTGGAGCTGGGCTTGTCAGAGGGTTCTGAACTCATTCAAGCTTTGTCTTCGCAGCCAAAGTAAAGTGAAGAATTGTGGTAGTTATCCAAATCATCTGTTAAGAGAGCAAGTATCCACTCTGTGTTGAAAAAGACAGCTTTGGAGGACTGGTCTAAATATCTCCACCTTCTCAGCTGTCCAGAGAGGTAATAATATGCGTGCTGACTTGTCCTGTCTCCCGAGAGTCAAACTTCCACAGATCGTCCAGCCTCTCTAGAACCAGACCAATCACGAGCCTCCTCCTGAGCATGCAAAGGCCACATCCCTCCCCCAGATCTGGAAATGTCACATGAGAGAGACCCAGGGACCTCAGGCAGCAGTTAAATACTGCCATTTAGAGTGCTCGAATCCGGCTGAGCAGAAATTTCCAGATGTAAGTTGTGCTCGCCCAGGCATGATGAATGGTCTCAGCCTGCCTTGAGTTTGTTCCAGCGCTCCAGGGGCAGACAAGTCCCAATTTGACTCCACAGTCTACACCTTCACCAACTCAGGACTAAGCATGGCTTACCAGTTGGGTGTCCACAGGTAGAAAGGCAAACTGCCAAGCCCCCACTGGATCCCATTCTGCTGCCCCCACCCCCCAAATTAATAGGTAATAATAACAACACAGTCAAGCAGAACTTGACCAGGACAAAGAGGCTGTTTAATGTCCTTGAAAATCCCTGGCCAGAAGTCAGCAGGATCTGAGCTGGGATCTTCCAGGTGAGAGAATTTGAGCAAGTTACTCCACTTCTCTGTGCCTCAGATTCCCCCCGGTGTTTTAAGGAGAGAATAGTAAGAATAACAGAAAATGTAATATACATTCCCTAGATAGAGTCTGGCTCACTGATTCCAAGAACAGGTTGAAGGGAGTGTTTACTACTCATTCCACAAACAGCCCCTAAGTATGTGCAATGTGCAAGGCTACTTTATTTGACCCTCGGAACAACTCTGAAAGGGGAACTGGGGAGGTGTCTTTCTCCCCGGTGGTTTTGGCTTGTCCAAGATCACCCTTTAGTCACTCATGGAGCCAGTACTTGATAGAGACTGTCTTGCCCCCTAGTCGGGTACTGTCTGAATTCTCTACAGTGCCCCTCGGTGAGTGGAAGGGTGGGAGCTGATCTAATAGGGCTCTGATGACTGCAGATTTCTTTTCTGTCTCCGTGGGATTAACATGAGGATTGCGTGCTTGGAGGAAGGCCCTAGCACCTGTTTCATCTCCCTCACCTAAGAGGAGATTGAGAGAAACTACTCACTGCCACCCCCCCACCCCTCGATACCATGCCCCCACAGACCAGATCCATTATCCCACTTTCATTTGTTTCTCTCGAAGTCCCTGACTCCAAGGACTGGGTGGAGGGGATGTCCCTAAGTGACCCAGGAGCTCAGGATGGCAGTTTTCAACCACATTTCTGGAACCTTAGGTCCACAGAGGTGCTTTGGGGTCTGCAGGGGCTGGTGTGGGTGGGTGGGTACTGGCACTCTGGGTACCCTATTCAACCAGAGCAATGCCAGCTCTTATTTGCAGGGGTAGCTGGTGGGAGACCTGGTTTATTTATGTTGGGCTTCTGTTTGAGATAATTTGAGGAAAAGATATGCTCCTTTAAAAAAGAACAAGAAGAAGGAAAGAAAAGGAGAGAAAAGCTTGACATCCACTTTTCTGGGAGCTTCTGACAACAGAAGCCAGAATTATGGACAGATGGAGATAGCCATGCTCTGAGCCAGAGCAAGGGGCCTCACACCTGGTATGCACCTTCAAGCACATATTGCACACCTGCTGTGTGCAGAATCCCAGACCAGGTATTGGGGGGATGAAAGTAAAACAGAGGTGGTGACTCTTCTCCTTTGAGACTTTGGTGGGAGGGGGACATGAACAGACACCTCAAAGGGAGGAGAAGGGGCCAAGAAATGCTAATTAACCAGTCTGGCCCCTGGGCTATATTATCTTGGATTTTTTCCCCCTTTTATTTATATGCTCTATTTCCCCCAACCAGACTCTAATTTTCCACAGGTTAAGAAACACCTCTCACTCAGCAGACATTTCTTAAGCACTTACCTTGTATGTCAGACATGGCAAAGGCTTGCTATCTTTTGGGAGAGCAGCCAGCATTTCCAGCGTGGGAACATTACTCTTCTCAAGGTGGTAGGGGCCACAGAAGGTGTCACAAAGGAGGCAGGATTCAAGATGCATCTTGCAAGAAGCACAGTAGCTGTCCGTATGCCTCTTTCACTTTCCTGGGGGTCCAGTGCAGCATCCCAAAGGACACCCATCCGGATGCCAATGGTGCGAGCTTTCAGGAGGTATGAAGTAAAGGTGCTGGACGCCAGGCGCTGGTCTCAGGGCGTCCGGGAGGGGAGAGTTTGGAGCTGGGTTTTCAAGGAGGAAGAGCCTGGGCTGGTTCCAAGGAGAAGGGAGTGTGTCCAGGTTGGGATCATGCCTGAAGTCAAGGCAACTAAGTGAAGCCAGGGGGGTTGAGGCAGTGACTGGTGGTGAAAGGGGGCAGGACAGGAAAGCCGGTAAAGCTCGAGGAGAGAGAAAGCAAAAAGAAGTCAAGGTATTGAAGAGAGGTAGAAGAAAGAGGGTAGCAGCTGCGGGCTGGGGTGTTCGCAACTAGCGCGGCTGGGGTGTTCCCAGACTCCAGTGATGTACCCTCAGAAAAGCAATAATGACGGGAGCCCCTCTCCCACGAGAGCCTCAGCACCTCTGTGAAACAGGGATCTTATGTTCTGTCCAAATGACCTCTGGCTGACAACTCCCTCCTCCCTCAACCCCGAAGTCCGAGGCCTCCGGCCCCTGCCTGAGGATCTGGAGGAGCCGGCAGGAGCAGGGGCCACCTGGTGGAGGGGGAAGTGGCCCGGGCCTGGCTTGGCCAGTAGTGCCTCCCAGCTGTGACCCACCTCTGGGGCTTCTGGAAATCGGCTCTGAACACTCCCACTCCCACCCTCAAGCCTACACATTCATCGCCAGGTAAAGGCACGGATATGCACACGGGGAAAGGAGGGACACACGCACAGTCCACATATTAAAGAGTCCCCTGGGTGTGCTGGGTGGGGTAAGCGGGTGCCTGGGAACGCGCTTCCCTCCGGTCCTCCTGGGGAGCCCGTGCCTCGGCTTCCTGCGCTCTAATAATCTGAATGAACCCTGGGAGGGCAGGAGAGCGCGCGCGAGCGCGGGGAGGGGAGAGGCGGGGAGCGGAGAGAAAAGCGGGTTGGGGGAGAGGAGCGCAAACCCGGGCGGGGGCCGAGGCTCGAGGGGCGGCGCCGAAAGGAGCCGGGCGCGGGCCGGGAGCGCGGCGGCTGCGGGCGGAGGCGCGGAGGGCGCGGGGCGGAGGCGCGGGCAGAGCTGGGAGGGCGGGCCGAGAGGGAGGAGCCCCCGGCCGCCGCCGCCAGCCCGCCCGGCGGCCCGCGCAGCTCGCACTCGCCGCCGCACCTCGGAGTTTGAGCCCCGGCGGGGCCGGAGCGCAGGCACGCCCGGGGCGCGGGGTCGGAGCGCGCAGCGAGGCGCCGCCCCCCGGCCCTCAGCCCCCCCCCCGGCCCGGGCGCTCCCGGAGCGGCTCGAGGAAGGAGGAGGGCGGGCGGGCGCGGCGGGCCGGGCCGGCGGGCGGCGGACTATGAGGCGCCCACCATGGTGCGATGCGACCGCGGGCTGCAGATGCTGCTGACCACCGCCGGAGCCTTCGCCGCCTTCTCGCTCATGGCCATCGCCATCGGCACCGACTACTGGCTCTACTCCAGCGCGCACATCTGCAACGGCACCAACCTGACGATGGACGACGGGCCCGCGCCCCGCCGCGCCCGCGGCGACCTCACCCACTCCGGGCTGTGGCGAGTGTGCTGCATCGAAGGTACGGCCGGCCCTGGCACCCTCAACCCCAGCACGCGCGCGCGCGCGCACACACACACCCTGCCCGGGGCGCCGGCCGGGAAGAGGGTGGGCGCGGCACTGGCTCCGCGCGAGACACAAAGGAGCCGGAGCGAGCGGGCGGGTCCCCTCGCGGCCCGCTGTGCACCAGCTCAGGGTCCCTCCCGGCAGCGGACCCCCCAGCACACCGATTCCACAAACTCTCCACTGGTACACGCACACGCCCTCGCGCACAGACACAATGAAGCACACCGAAACTCACACGCGCGCGTGCAGCCCCGGACCGGAGCGATTCCCGAAGGGCCCGCGCTGGCGCCCCCGGGGGAGGTGGAGGCTGGCGAGGGGGCGGGAGGAGGCTGGGGCTGGGGGGAGCTAACAGGGAGGGCGGGGAGGGAAGAGGGGGAGGGGTTGCTTGGCAACCGGTGTCAGTGCGATTGCTATGGGAACTGGCCATCCTGGGGCGGAGCCGGCCGGGGGCGGGGAGCGCCGGGGCAGCTCTGCCGACTCCAGGCCCGGGCCGTGGGGCGGGAGTCGTGGCTGGGCTCTGAGGGAGTCTGGGGGAACGGGGTCGCCCGAGTCTAACACCACCGAGACCCTGCTCCGCCGCCTACTCTTCCACGCGGCCGCCGGCCGGCTCCTCCCTGCTCGGTGGGGAGAAGGGAGCGTCACCGAACCTCCTCCCCGACTAGGGGAGCGAGCCCTCCGTCACAGTCCCTCGGCAGGGAGGCTGCGGGAGACTTTGGAGGCGAACTGGGGTTGCCCAGGGGCGACCCGTGGACCGCAAACTGCTTTGGAGGGGCGTGGCCGCCCCGTTGGGGCAGGAGGGGCGGGGCGCTGCGCCCCCCAGGGGCGCGAGGAGGCGGAGTGTGTCAGGTTGGAATGCCTCTGGGGGCTGAGGCTGGGTGCCCCGGGACTGCGGATACCGCTCCCTCCGGGGGAGGGTCCCGAACCCTTCCAGTGACCAATGCGCCGGTCTCCAGTGCCTCCCGCCCGCCCTTCTGAGGAACTTAAACTAACAGGTGGCTGTGGAGGGGCGGACTGGCCCAGCCGGGTTGTGGACACGTCTGCCGCTTGGGCTTGGCATTCAGACTGGAGAAGAGATGGAGGAAGTTTGCCGAGCGTTCCTTTTACAAATCCGTGGACAGAGTTTCCTCTTTCTTTTCCGTAACCTTTCCCCATGTATTAGATCCGCCCCTCAGTGGTTCGGGAAGTTCTCCCACACACCTAACCTTCCTTACTGCAGTTAAAACCCCTGCTGATAGTTCAGCGGGTTGGATCTTGGTGGAGGTTGGTAGGGAGCTCCAAAAGAGATGGCTCTTTTTCTGGCCGCGAGCGTTGTCACCTAAAAAGAGGCTTTGTAAAATAAAGCTGAGTCTGCTTAGCGAGGTCGAATTGATCAATCCTTTCTCTCCCTGCTAGACGATGCCTGTTCTCATCTGGAAAGCTGCCCACCTCTGTCCCCCACATCCTTGCCCAAACGCAGCTGCTTTGCCCTTTGCAATTTGGAGCTTAATGTCAGGGCTAAGTGGAGTCTTTGAGGAGAAGGAATATGCAATCAATAGTTTGGGAAACAGCCACACAAAGGATCAGTGGGCCCACGATCACACCCTCCTTTCTTTTGAAAAACATTTCTGGTGTGTAGTTGCTCAGATCACGAACACCTACTCCTCGCATCTGGAGAGTGTACCCACGTCACTACCTGCCATGGCACCTGAGTTAGACACAGAATGGGGGTTGCATGCCCCCATTCTACCTCACAGGCTCCACTGGGCACTGTCTTTGTGGCACAGTAAGCCATGCCACTGTCACCACTCAAACACACGTGTGGACCCCAGACCTTCCTGCAAACTGGACCTAATTCCCCCAGAGCGTCAAGCCTGGCCTCTGCAGAGTGGCTCAAATGCCTCCTTCATTAATTCCTCATCCTAATGAGGATTGATGCTGCACTTAGCATCTTGCCAACTGCCTCGAGCCATTTGCACTCAGTGTTCATCAAGAGAGCCCCAAGCTGATCTGGGCAGCTGGCTCCGCTGGCAGAGGGAGGGGAATTGCCATCTGGGGGACCTCACCAAAAGAACTGGACTGACTCTATCATGCCTCAGGGCTCAGGTGTTCCTAAGGCCAAACCGGGCCACATGCAAGGGTTGGAGCAGCCTGGGTCTAACCCAGGGCTGGGAGGGCTGGTTCAGGATGCCTTGTCGCAGCTAGGATCATTGTTGACAGTCCCTCAACCAGGGTGGAAATTGCCAGCTTATCTCATAAAAGCACATCGCCGAGTCCAACAGCTGTTGACACCTATGATGCCCCCACCTGCCAGCGAGTGTCCAGGCTGAGCCCTGCCAGCACACGTACCCCAGGCCACTCCCTCTTGCATGGTCACCTCAATGTCAGCTTTTGTGTGTAAAATACATTATTTCCACCTGTTCTCTAGAAAAGTACCAAATCATTACATGGAAAAAAAAAAAAGGAAAGATGAAATCTGTGAGCTGAAACTAAAGGAATACTACAGCAGGCAGCCAATAAAGCTCAGGTCGTGACGGCCAGACTGAAGGGTTTATTGGCGACTCATGAAGAGTGGGCTCAATGTCCTGGTTGTTTCCTGTAAATGACGTTGCTGGGCCAGGAGAGCCAGCCCTCTGTGTACATAAGGCATCCACCCAGTCTGGCAGGGCTACGTGCAGAAGACTGCTGTGCCACCCTCACCAGAGCTGGCATTGCCCCAGCCTCTTTCTGTCCCCCAAAGCCTGGTCTCGCCTCTATTTGACACTTACTGGACAGCTGTCAAAATACTCAAGCACACAGAGCCCTGTGCATGTTAGCCCATGGCGTGCTCACACTGGTCCTGAGAGGAGGCTGCTCCCCCCACTGCAGCTGAAGGCTCAGAGGCTCAGAGAGGGTAAGGCACTTGCCCAGAGACACCCAGGCTAGAGGCTGCAGGCCAGATTTGAGCCTTTGTCTCCCTACAAAGCTTTTCCCACCATGTCATGCTGCCCTTTCCCAAACAGCTTCTGGGTTGCCATTAAAAATAGAACCAAGTACTTGACTACCCAGTGGAGCCCAGCTCTGAGGTTGGGCCAGTGGCAGCATGAAGGCATTTAGAAGTGAGAATGTACAACTGATACACGCATTGCATAATGCATTCTTTCTCTTCTCTATTTCTGTCTTTGCCCCTGTCTGTGTTTCTGTCTCTGTCTCTGTCTCTCTCTCTCTCTCTCTCAATCTGTCTCTGTTTCTCTGTCCCTCCACCTTGTTCTGGACTAGCCTGTCCCCACCACAATCAGCCATCTGCTCCTCCTGACCTGAGACCCCCCACTTCATTCTTTGGTGATGCTCAGTCCAAGGCTGGGACACAGAAAAGGAGTAATAAATCTTTGTGGACTTTTCGACCAAAGGTATCACCAATGAATATTTGTTCAATCTCTAATGCGTTTTGGTATCAGGCAAGCTGTGGGATGTGAACAAGCGTGGGGGAGCATGCAGTGTGTGCTAGGGACAGCAGACTTCATGTAAACAGCAGAAGGGGAAGAAAAACTCTGAGCTCAGAGGGCAGCAGCCTGTGCCAGCACGCCAAACCCCCTGCCCACTGTCAGTGTCCAAGTGTCCTCTGGGGCTGCCGGGGGCCACAAGGGGCCCATCACTGTGCTGCCGTCAGGAGAGCTCTGGGCCCAGAATAAACAGTCCAGGCAGAACTCAGCCTTGGCGGCCCCCCTCTCCTCCCACGTCCCCCACAGATGAAACTGCCCCCAGCACACCCCCAGCTCCTTCAGAGCCTTACGGTGGCACCCCTGATGCCAGGGGTGGCCCTGCTCTGGCTCCGCTCCGCGCCAGCTCTGTCTGGACACTGGCAGGGAAGGGTGCAGAGACATTCTGAGCCCTGAGTGATGTTCCTGTGCCCCGGTCACGCTTGCCTCCCTCACCTGGGAAGCACCTCACACCAGTGTGCCCAGGCTTTATTCACACCAGGACACACGGAGCCAAAGAAACTGTTGGTCCTGCAGCCTGCAATCTTCTCTTGTAACGACCCACAGGCAGCCTGTCCAGTCCGGTGCAGAGCAGGCCTCCCTCCCTGCAGCTCCGAGCGCAGCAGCCAGTCACCTCCCTGCCCTCCACTGCCTCTAGTGTTGATAATAACAGTCACCGCTTACTGAAGACCTTTGGGCAGGACTTAGATTAGTTCGTGTAATTGCCAACACTTCAAGGTAAATATTCGTTCTCTGCCTTTTCTAGGTGTAGAAAATGAGGCTTAGGATGGCCTTAGTGACTGAGGATCAGGAATGCCTTCCACTGTCTAGATCTCAACTGAGGTTGGGTCGGAGAGCCTGGCTTTCTGTCAGCCAGGGGTTGGCCCTCATTTGAACCACCCAGATGTGGGCAGGGACAGGTAAGGGGATTGTCCTAGTCAGCTCAGGCTGCCGCAACAAAACATGATAGACTCGGTGGCTTAAAACAACAGATATTTATTTTCTTACAGTTCTGGAAGTTCAAGTCCCAGATCAAGGTGCCAGCTGACTCAGTGCCTGGTGAGCACCCACTCACCCACTTCCTGGCTTGCATATGGCTACCCTCTCACTGTGTCCTCACATAGCAGAGAGCCACCTCTCTGGTCTCCCCTTAAGAGGGCACTGATCCCATCATGAGGACCCCTCCCTCATGACCTCATCTAAACCTGGTCACCTCCCCAAAGCCCCACTTCCAGATGTCCCTGGGGGTTGAGCTTCAACAGACGAATTTGGCAGGGGACACAAACACTCAGTCTGTAACAGGGGCATTCTCCCTTCCAGTCCCTGCTCATTCAGGGAGGGGTCCTGGCAGTCCCTACTCGTGTCTACCTTCCTAATGCCCTGCTCTGTCTCTTTACCTCCTCTGTTATTCACTCATTTCTCTCTTCTTATATATATAAAAAAAAGTCAGATCCTTTTAACTGAAGCCAGCTGACTTAGTGAGGCGAAGCTGGGGGTCTTGGTGGACCCCAGCCCTGCGTCT